GGCCCCGGGGGGGGGGGGGGCTATCTAATAGGTGTACCATGTTAGTGTAGGATCGCCTATACAGTAAGTGTACCCTAATGCAGAAAGCCTTACTTTTGGCTTGTTCTGCTGATTGGCTTCCTTATGTCAGGTTTTTAGTTAATAAAATGAAGCTGCTATCATTTAGAGATTAGATAGCGGATTAGTGTAGTTTAAAGCTCTTCGTTCTTGGTTCAGACAAATTAAATGAAATAATACCATAAGTCCCACCTTATAATTTAACAGTTTCATATCCTTGAATTAGTTGGAGCTTGAATAACTGGGGTTTCAATATATTTTACTTGGATGTTGGATAACTGGTTATGTAAGAGGGTACCCGAAACAGACTGATGTTTAGAAATTATCTAACGTTGTTATATTTGTCATGACAATCCTATGCTATTGCACAACGTTTCAGCTGGCGCTGCATTGGCGATATTCAGCTTTTGTAAAACATCCACGTTTTCAATGCACATTAAACGTGGCTTGTTAAATATACAAAGAATGCTTTTCTATGTAACGTTTCTCGTTTGAAATAAGTTTATGCAGGTGAACTCTCAATTCATACACAGAAGCCCAATCTTATTGGTAAATGTAAACTTAAAAATGTTCATACAAACTCAAAAATGGTTTATGGGTTTTTCAAGAAACTAACAATAGAAGCGTACCATCTGTGGTTTAGTCGTGTATTGCATAACGTTAGACTATTTTTCGAAATTAACATCTGTGATATCGAATATTTATTTGAGTATTTTGTCTGTTTCTTCAAAGGTTTGATTAGTTACAGCCAATTTCAAATAAACCATCTGTTAGGATTTGAAGTTTTTAGGAAGATTTTACAAATTCAGACTATTTGAAACATAGGCCTACTCTACAATCTGTTAGATTCGGCAAGTGTTTCTTGAATGACATCTTTTAAATAAAACATTTCATAGAAATCTACAAAGACCGAATAAGGGTAAAAGATAGAAGGTTGGGAATTATAAATACTCTAAATTTCACCCCCACTGCAGTAGTCTTCTCAAGATTGAGGAGAGTCTGAAGTTCAGCCACAGCACCGACGTGTATAACGGCCAAGTAAGTAATTTCACTCGAAAATATCGCTACTTTATACATCAAAAATGTGTTTATTTAAATAGATTAACGTTTTCTTTCACATTTCCTCTCTTTCCTCTAGGATGTTGTTTACAGTGTTGTCGTTATTATTCTTCAACCTTCATAGTGTTCAGATGAATGAGTTTTTGACTCTTTCCTCTGACATTCTGGACAAGTACATTCAAGGGAATGAAATTATACAGAAAGTATCGGAAGATTTGAAAGAAGACAAGGTAGCAGTTAACAAAGATTTTGATGATCAGGCCTTACTTTTATCGATAGAAACGAAGAACGATGTTGAAACAAACTACACCTTAACTCCTTCTCCTGATATCCTGAACGACACCGATTTAGGCAATTTGATTATAAGCAAAGTTTTGACAGACTCCAAGCTACTTGATGAAGCTATTGAGAAAGCTCTTAAAGGCTTGAAGGAAAGAGTTTCATATATCAAAAAACCAGCAATGAGAAGTAAGTGGCCTGAGTAACCAACAACCACATTACCTTAGTATTGTGTTGAAATACGAACTGAATTTTTATTTACTTTTCATGAATTAAGAATTAATATAAATGAATGTTAATTATCGAATAATCACAATTTTTTAATACAAACGTCTTTAAACGAACAAAGGAGAGCGAAAAAATCTGTAAATAAGCCTCATGGTCATAATAAAACCACTGGAAAATTTTAATCAGTCAATAAATGTAGATATTTTCATGGTCAATTTCAAGTCTTATAACATATAACGGTAAATGAAAGACTTGAGTAAATATATACATATATATATACACAAATATGTGGTTTATATGGATATTTTGTATCTTTGCATTCAGTATTTACACTGATAATATGTAGTTTTTTTCTTCTTGGACACATTTTATTATTCACTTTAATTATACAGTTTTCTTTAATATTTTGGGTTACTATGTATTTGCTGTTTATGCATGTTGTAGTCCAAAATCAAATTAAATGATCTTGCATCCGGTTTTACTAAAGTAATTTCTCTACAGAAGCAGGTAGAAAGTCTTCTCTCTCACAATGTTCAGCCATGACAACCTACCATAACCGAATGTTAGGAGATAGCAGAGTGTCAAAGATGGTTGAAAAAGCCAGTGTATTTGAAGAAACGACAAAGGTTTTGGCTAGAAAGTAAGTTTTCTAATAATATCTTCCATATTTGACTAAACAGGTAAATAAACAAAAATACATAAAGGGGTATTTAGAAAAATTACTTTAGATTCTACCATTAGCTCTTATATAAACAAACACAAGAAAAATATACGAAATGCTACTAAATATATTTCGCTGTGGCGAGGGAAAAATTATGTTCTCTGCACTACACTTTGAAGTTTGAAGTCAAAAGTTTTACTGGACGTGACAGTGTAAAAGGTATGTGGTCATGTAACTGAATGTCCATTAGCTCTTTATTTCTGGAATGAAATGGACACCATCTTTACCTTTCTTATAGGTTAGGGTTAAAGAGCGAAGAAGTTTCTGCTTTAGCCGATGTCAGTTTAAAATCAAGCAAGTTGGGAAGCATGTTCAGTGAAGATGAAGAGCCAAAAACGTGTAGTTGTGCACAAAAATACCGGGAATTTGACGGAACGTGTAACCGTTTACAATCTCCTAAAGACGGTTCTGCTTTCACCTGTTTGACAAGACTTCTTCCAGCAAAGTACGCTGACGGTGAGTGTTACACTGATTAGTTTGTTTGTTTTTAATTATGCACAAAGCTACACAAGGGCTATCTGTGCAGTGCCCACCATGGGTATCGAAACCCGGATTCTAGCGTTGTAAGTCCGCAGACATACCGCTGTGCCATTGGGGGGCACACTGATTAGTACATTGCTGTCTTTAGTATAAGTTTATGAAAATATCTCGAAACCAGAAAGTGTAACTTTTGTCAGACCAAACTTGTGAAGGTACATTATCAAATTTACCTGTTGTAGAACTAATCCCGATGAAGCCGCAATGACGAAACGTTTGACTGAAATAAAAAAAATTTGAATATCTAAATTCCTCCAGTGTGCACTACAGATAACTAGACTTATAAACAAGAAAATCTTTATCCTAAAATTATTATTTTTTTTTTTACCATTAATTAAAACTGGTTTTTCGAAAACTAGTAGCAGTTTTAAGCCGCGGCTGAGCAGCTCGTAGGACGTCCCTGAGTTTTTAAATATTTTTTCAAGTACAAACGGTTATCTCATAGCTCCATCATCTATTAACCGATTTGATATATAATTACAGTTTTGGATTCAGGAGGTCAAACCCTTTCGACTGATAAATTCGACCACGCACAAGGTCTTATAGATTAATTTACTCTAATCCTGCCTAAAAGAATTTCAATTTGAGGGTTGGCTGGTAGAGATCCTGGTTAGTAATAAAATTGAATCGGGTATGCGCGCGTCCCACGCTTGGTATTGCTGGCGCACAAAAATATAGCTAAAGTTCTCAGAGATTAATCAACTCTAATCCTGCCTATAAGAAGTTCAAGTGCCGTGGCTATTGAGGATTCCCTCTTGTTGGTATTTTTCCTTGCATATAAAAGATAAATTGTAAATCTAATAAAATATTAGATTTATATTCGTAATCTAAATGTGCAGATTGTTGTTGGTATGATAAAAGTAAAAAAAAAGTGTAAAAATGGTGGTTTTCTTACAAGTAAAAGATAAATAGAGACTTTAATATTGTCAGAAAGCATTTTACTTTTATAGTTTTAGACTTGTATTCGTATTGCTAATTGTGTAGATTTTTGTGATATATTTTTCAATGTAAAAATAAATGAGCAAAAACAAGCTTATGATTGTTTAAAATTATTATGTATTATGAGAAACTATTATTTGGATTTCATCAGCCTCCCCCTCTATCCACATAATATTAATACTTGTTACAATTATATTATTTATTAATATTTAGAAAATATATTTGCCTACAGGTATTTCTGAACCAAGAAAAGCGAAATCTGGAAGAGACTTACCCAATCCTCGTCTAGTATCAACTACAATCCATACCGATCAGAACAGAGAAGCATTTTTCACACATTTTCTGATGGTGTGGGGACAGATCATGGATCATGACAGTGCCCTCGCACCATTTAACAGCGCCCAAGAAGAGGACGTGATACTTGGAGGTAAATCTCAATTTTCTTTGTACAATAATTTTAATTCTTTCTTTCCGTCAGATAAACTAGTAGAATTATCTCAGCGGGAATAACGTATGAAAATCAGTTTAAATACGATGACAGTTAGTAACGTTGAGACTGTTGAAATAGATACTTTAACAAATTCACAATTTTAATTTTACTGTTCTAACAGAAATAGACTATATTTGTAATCTAACTATTCTGTTATTTTTATGTTTCAAATATGGTAATGTAAAAGCTTTGAAAAAAACAATAAAAATTAAACATTAAATCAGAGGAAAATCATTAAACTGTTAGCACATAACCAAAAAGTCCAATGGAATTATGAACATCGTTCAAACTTAATCCCCATTATCACCTTAGGTAACAGTAACTCGTATTTAAATATATAACAAAAAGCATAACGTCAGGTGAAACTCACTTAAATGTTCACACTTTGTAAGGTAAACGTACCGTACTGTTGACCGTTTCTTCAACAAACTGTGTTAAACCTAACACTTAAAAAATATACCTCGCCGATAATCAGTAAATGGTATCTATTATATCCAACAGTATCATTTACGAGTAGGAATATTGGTATAATTTTTCTCGTGAATTTATTAACACAGCAAATCATTTAGTGTTTTCTTGTAAGGAAAATTGAATCATTTCAATAATAATGTTTATATCCAAAAACCATTACATAATTAAGATATATTCATTACCGTGACATGTG